CACGCAAATTCTTCTGCTAGTTGGGGTTTATTCCAAATCTGCATCCTTTCCTTCAAGGCTCAGGGGTCCAAGATTATCTTCTGTGTCTGTTTTAATTGGTTTCCCTTTTCTTTGTTGAAGAGGGTCTGTGCAATCCTTCTGCCTAGTCCGCCATCTTCCAAATATTTTTTAATGTTTCCCATAAGTGATAAAATGTGGTTTAGAAAATGGTATCCTTATTCGCAGCAAGTCTTACCACCTTCCCAAAGAGTTATCTATCTCTCTATCTCTCTCTCTATCTATCTATCTATAAAACTAGAGGAATAATTCTAGGTGAGAGTCCTGAGAGTCTGCCCTTGGTCCTGTTCACTTCCCAGCTTTGATCAATGACCGAGGAAGACAGGGAATGCCAAACTATCAGATCTGCAGATGGCATGATGCTGGAAGGATCCATTAATATAAAAGACAGCAGAACTGAAATTTAAAACATTCTTAACAAGCTGTGCCCAAACCAAAAAAAGATGAAATGTAGTCAGGATGAAAATAAAGCACTGCCATTTTGTCGTTTTTTTTTTAAAAGGAAAATAATGGCACAAGTTTATTATGAAAGAGATGCCATTTGGGGGCAGTTTATGTGGAGATAGCTGACCTCAATGTTAACATGACCTAATAGTTTCAAATTGTTGCTTAATAAGCTGATAGAAGCATTTAGATTCATGTTTTTGAAATTATGTGCCAAGAAACACTAGAAACCAAGAGGTTTTAATAAGTGTTCCATGAAATAAAAGAGATTCAATTCTGTGGTCAATTACACTTGGGAAATCCTGGGTTAAACAAAATTTAATTGTTGGCTCTTCAGCACTTATCATATGCTAATAATGTTGCATGGGGAATGGAGAAAAGGGTCTACAAATACAAAGTATCCCAAATATACTTGATCACAAAACCCTTTCTTTGCAAAAGATCTCCTTTGGAACATAATTTGGGAAATGCTGACTTAAAACTTGGAAGTGATAGATCCATTTTGCTTAATCAAATTGAATCTACAAGAGGATAGACGCTATTATTTTTGCCAGGATCTCCCTAAAGTAAGGTACCTAGACCTGAACATACTCCTTCAGATGCAATTTGATTAAGCAGTGTTCTAATTTACTTGACCACAAAATCCTTTCTTTGCAAACCATCTTCCTTTGAACATAATTTGGGAAATGATGACGTAAAAACTTGGAAGTGATAGGTCCACACTGCTTAATGATAGTGTCTAGAAGAGGATAAGGAGCTCTGGTGGCAGTGGTTAAAACACTCAACTGCTAACCAAAAGGTTGGCTGAACCTATCAGCTGCTCTGTGGGAGAAAGATGAGGCAGTATGCTTCTATAAAGATTTACAGCCTTAGAAACCCTGTGGGGCAGTTATACTCTGTCCTATAGGATCACTGTGAGTTGAAATCGACTCTATAGCAGTGGATTTAGAAGAGGATAATAGAAATTGTATCATCTAAGAAATACCTGGAGAAATCTTTAGATGTTTAGAATGGAGGGTAGAAGACAAAGAGGAGACAAATACCTGTCTTATGCTTTTCTGAAGGCAGAACAAGGATCAATAAGTGAATATAATAACAGCTCCCTTTGCAGTTAGCATAAGAATGTCCTCATGACTAGAGCTATCCTGGAGTAGAGGAGGCTGCTATGTGAAAAATAAGCATTCATTACTGACAGATTATCTGAAACGATTATCTGAAATTATCAAGAAATCTGAGTCACAAACTCCCCAATTTGGGTGGGACTTGGAGCAGGTTGACCTCCCAGTTTTCTTCCATATTTGGGAATCTCTGATCCTAGCCCTCTCTAGGCACAGAAGGCGACATCTATTTGACCCGCTGTGAAACAAAAGCTGTGCTGTAAATGGATGTTCTCTACAGGGTTTTCTTTGTCTCAGGGGTGGAGGAATCGCCATCATCCTTTCTTTGTCACTCCACTGCTCTCTCATTCTCACTCTTTCCACCCTAAATAAATGGTAGTCGATGGAAACTGTGGCTGGTCTGAACAGCACTGCCCTTCTGTTTAGCAAGGGGGTGTGCAGTTCTGGGCCAGCCCCTATGCAGACTCTTTCTGTTTCTTTGCAGATCTAACGAGCACAAAACCCTTCTTCAGCCTTGATGCCTGCCAAGGGATCCTGGCCCTGCTGGATGTATCTTTTCTGTTTTGTGGGATGATGCATGCTGCTTATTGAGAGCTCAATTCTGGAGCCAGATTGCCTGGGTTTGAATCCTACCCCCACCGCTCACTGGTTGTGTGGTCTTGTCCAAACGACTTAGCCTCATTATGCCTGAAACTCCTCATCTGAAGCTTGAGGGAGTATTAAAACCTACTCTGAGAATTCAAATGGAATAATACATAAAGCATTACATAAAACTAAAGTGCTTAGAACAGAATTTTTCATAAGTGGCCAATACTAGCTGTTATTAACAATAACTTTATCTCCTGACAGTGAGGATGGGGCAGCTGCACGGTGTGAATTATTAATAATTCTCCAGCTTTACAAGAGAGCCAGGGCTCTAACCTTTCGTTGGTGACAGGGGCAATGGATCTCCCCATTTACAGATCAGGAAACTAGAGTTTGGAGAAGTTAAATGGCATATCACAAACCCAGCTTTCCTGGTTGTCAGCCTAGTAATTTTTCTAGAAACCTTTGCCTTTCTAATTGGACAGTATAGTAAGAGGTGGATTATCCATACTAGAGAGGCATATAGAATTGATAGTCTGAGAAAGTGGCAAATACAAAAGCAAACGAACAGTCTTTGCGGAAACTCAGAGACAGTGTTGTTAACTATTGCAGAGTCAGTTGTTGACTCTCAGTGACTCAGGCAAAATGGAATGAAATGCTGCCTGATCCTATGCCACCTCCATGATTGGTTGTAGATTGGACCACTGAGATCTACAGGGTTTTCATTGGCTGATGTTTGGAAATAGATCACCAGACCTTTCTTCCTAGTCCATCTTAGTCTGGAAGCTCTGCTGAAACTTGTTTTGTATCATAGCAACATGCCAGTTGCTATGATATGTCAGTATGCCACTGACAGACAAGTGTTGGTTTCACATGAAGTATATTGTCTGGGAATCAAACCTAGGCCTCCCTCATAAAAGGTGTAAATCTACCCCTGAACCACAAATGTCCCCCCAGAGATAGCAGAGGGTGTGGTGAAGTGTGCACACATTGAAGCACATCCAAACCTCATCAGTTACCAGCTCTATGACCTTTAACAAAATCTCTGAGCCTTTATTTTCCCATCGATAACCTGGAGGAGATAATACCTACCTCACTTTCTATGAGTAAATGAAATATCATAGGTAAAGTATAACTGGGTGCTTGACCCACTATACAGGTTTGAATAAAAGTGGTGTGTGGTGCTATTTTAACCCAGACACTCTAATGTGGAGGATATTTGGACGTAGTCTACACAGCCATCTACTCAACTTCTAACTGTTCAAAAACAGACTAAATACAGTGCAAAAGAGGCATCCTTACTCACTCTATGCCTGACTTGTTTATTTTAACAATAATGAAAAAATAGTTACTATTTTTTATTTAAACATCAAATTGGCCATATCAAAATATCCTGCTTCACTAAATGGTAGCTGCTGTTACCAGTATTATCACCATAACCATCACTTCTCTCAATGCTGCTGTATTCTGGCTCATTCTATTCTGTTCTAGCAAGGGTGAGGGAGCCCAGACTAGAAAGGCTAACAAGGGGAGGCTAACCAGGGATATGAAACACTGCATGGGACTACCCAAAAATGCACACAGCTATGTGGACAGCCAATCACTGCCTACAGTGCTGATATTGGAACACTCTCTCGGCAGTTTTTACCTTGATCCTGTTATCAGCTTAATGCATCAGGTACCGTGAGCATCCAGGAATTCAGGGACCTATGGAAGTGGCTGATGCTCTGTCAGGTAAGAACAAGTCCTAACCATACTTCTTTGCAGGAAGGGGAAGAAATTGAGGCTTTTCTGATTGTGGGGAAGCTATATAAAATATGTCCTTCCCTTTAAGCCCCTTATTCTTGACCTCTGATCAAATCTTTCATCTCCTTTCTGTGAGCCCCTCCTCCTTCTCTTTCTCTGTTCCTTAAAGAACCTGTTGCAGTGGTCTCCTGAATTTCTAAAGCACACATCTGATCATTTGCTTCCTTACTAAACATTCTTCAAGGCTCCTCATTGTCTACAGGAAAAGTCCAAACTCCTTAACATGGCAATAAAAGTCCTTCATAAATTGGCTCCTTCCTGCTTCCCCAGTCATTGCTTACAACTTTCATCTTTCTCTCATAAAGTTGGGACCACCCTAAAAGTTTGGATCATGTGCTTAAATTAAGCACATTTCCCTAACCAAGGAGGTTGATACCCTATGAAAAAAAGACCGTCTTCTTTCTCAGAAGCTGTGTTCCATCAAGGAATGTAAGAAGTGGTTGGATGCTGCTAGCATGGGCCCTCTGCCACATTCTCAACCCAGCAACAGGCCCTTCTGAGATTAGCCATTCCCACAGTCCTCTAGAGCATCTTTTCTGGGCTCCTTTAGGGCTCTCTGGTGGGACTTGGGAATGCTTGACTTCCTTAGCCTTTGGTTGTGGTTCTTCACAGGAGGTTTTCCACAAACAAGACAGTCACCAGTTAGGATACCTGAACTGGAACCAGCTGCGGGCTGCCGTGAAGGAGGCAGGTAGGCATGGTAGGACCTGGTACTGCTGGGCACAGAACTGATAGGGCCTCACTCCCAGGCAGGGAAGAGAGGGGATGATTCAGTCACTGTGATGCAGGGAGTATTTGAACATAGTTTATATAGCCAGCCATTCAACTTTTAACTGGTGGTGGTAGTAGTGGTGACAGCAGTTACTATTTAGTGATGAACATTTCAACATGGCCCATTTGATGTTGTTAAATATATTTGTATATTCAAAGAAGTGGATCTGCAAATAACAAAAGCATTTATTTTTATTTCCATTATAATCATAAAAAAATAAACAAACCAAACTCACCGCCATTCAGTTGGATTTGACTCACAGTGACCCCTCCTTGGGTTTCTGAGGCAGTGTCTCTACAGAAGTAAATTGCCCAATCTTCCTTCCAAGGAGTGGCTGGTTGGTTTGAATCACCAGCCTTCTGGTTAGCAGTCAAATGCCTTAGGCACTATTCCACCAGAGGCACTATTCCACCAGAGCTCCTTAATCTTCAGCAGCACCCTGTTATAATCCTATCTTTACAGAGTAAGAAAGTGAGACTCATGGCAGTTAAGTAACTTGCACAGGGTTTACACCCAGCAGTATCAGGGTCCAAAGCAAATGTTCTTGACCCCTAAGTAGTCTGCTTCCTGCCATGAAGGCCAGTAACCTGTTTGGTCAAAAGATTCCCATGCTGGCTCCTTAAGGTGGGCAGGGTTGGGGAATGGAGATAAAATAAAATTGATAATATATTAGACAGTTAAAAACAAATTCTGCAAAAGAAGGTCTTCATGCTATCCTGAAAGTGAAGGTACCCTTTAGGGATCCTCAGATGGTAGGGAATCTGGGTGCAAGGCAACCAGCACCCATGCAAATGTTGTTGCTGTTATGTGCTGTCGAGTTGGACCCAACTCATAGCGACCTCTCCTTGGGTTTCCAAGGCAGTATCCTTATGGAAGTAGATTGCCCCATATTCTGTGTTTGATGCAGGAATTGTGCTCAGTGATGATGTCTGTAAACTGATGCTCATCCGTTATGGTAGTCCCAGTCTCCAGATTGACTTTGTGAACTTTGTCCACCTGATGCTGCGTGCAGAGAACATGGAGGGTGAGTCTGCAGGAAGGAGGGAGGGCTGGGGCTTCCTCCATACTGCATGTGGGTTGCCAGCCTTTCCCTAATTCGCACATGAGAACAACTGCCAATCCAAAAACAAGAGGCCAAGTGAGCTGCAGAGAACACTAGCTATGCACCTGTGACACATGGTTAAGTCCACCCAAACTATGCTATCCTTGTTCCAGAGGCAAAGGTTTGAGGTAGTTCAATTAGTTAACAGTCATGTGTGGTTGCATATATCCCTAAATTGGGTTCTTTTGAGTTTTCAGCATGGACATGGTTAAGGGGAGAGGGGATACATGGGAAGAACTAGTTTATAATGTTTCTGAAACCAAAAAAATTATCTGTGTTCCTTTCTGCATTTTTATAGATGCTTTCCAAAACTTAACCCAAGATGGCAAAAGTATATACCTCCAGAAGCCAGAGGTAAGACTTTCTCCACTGAGGCTACTCACATCATCTTAGGTACAGGTGGCCATTGTAGATCAAGGCTCTTGTGAAGGATAAGGATTCTGGGACCTTTAGTTCTACTGAGTTTAGGATTTTGCACTACTTTGATTTGTTCATTAGTTCTTTAATCAAATATCAATTGAGTATTCATTATGTACTAGGAAGGGGACAGGAGACTGACAGTGCATCTAATACCAATGGCCATAAACATGCTATGGGACAAAACCCACAAAACTTCAGCCGCATGTATCAAGCATTTATTTAGCTCCTGAGTCACAAGGCTTGGAGTCAATGAATTTCACTGACTTGCTTATCCATCAGGGGGTTGGCTGTGGACTTTGCTGGTGTACCTTTATTGAGGAAGCTCTGATCAGGCTTACCCTTTCCAAGACAAAGGCAGAACCACAGAACCACAAGAAAGAGAGTTTTAACATGCTGGCCTCTGAGACCTAGGCTCACAGCTAGCACACTATCACTTGCAATTCCTTCTGTTGTCTGAAGCAAGACCCATGGCCAAGTCCACCTTCAATGGATGGAGAAATAACCTCCTTTTCTGTGAAAGGAACTGTGAAGTCCTTTGACAGAGAGTGTGGTTACAGAAAGGGTAAATAACTGGTTTTAGTAATGAACTCTAGCACAGACAGTAACAGAAGAGCTACTCCAGATGGGGTGTCCTGCAAAAGTCTTTCTGGAAGAAGTGACATTGAAGTTGAAGCCTCAAAGATAAAAAGGAGCCAGCCAGGTAGAATGGAGAATAGGAAAGACTCAGGCTAGATGGAATAATGTCTGCAATCCTGGCTAAAGTACAGGGAATGCAGGAATATTGACTCAAGATGATGAAGAGGTCAGGGTCTGATCAATCAGGATGTACAAGATAGAAGTAAACCATAATTCAAGAGCTAACATAGCCTTCCCCACAGAGCAGGGTCTATGCCCAGTCTTATCTTTGTACCCACTTGCTGAATTTCATATAGTACTTTGCATCTAGCAAGTGCTTGACAGATGTTTACTGAATGAATGACATGAGATATTGCCTGGGAAAAGACTAATGCATGTAAGGTACCAATTGTCTTCTCTGACCTTTCAGACTGCACTTACTTACTGAACACTTGCTCTTCACCGAATGTTATGCTACATAGTGTTCACAGCTAGGACGTGAGGGTCTGGAGCTGAATCATCTGCTTTCTTTATGAAGCATATTCTCTGTTTGGACTGTTGAGAAAGAATTCAGTAAATGCTGGGGTTTTCTCCCTGACTTCAAATGTCCATTTTGTGCAATAATCTTCCAAGACATAGGATGCTCAGCCCATGTCTCCTGTCAGTCATGCCCATAGTCAAGTGTGAAGGTGGGATGCAGCTGGAAGGCAATGTTTGGAATCTTCTGAGTCCATCCCTAAGCTGCCCAGCCCACACCTCACTATTTTGTTATCACCTCCTGAATCCAAGCAATCCCTCCATAGAGGCAGGCACAGAGCCAGGAGAACAGGAAGACGTGTGGCTCATGAGAAAGAACAACCAACAGCCCAAGCAGCCTTCTGCATAGCAATGTGCTATCACAGAAAGAAAACTGGACTAGGGTCTGTTGTTGTTAAGTGCTGTCAAGCCGATTTCAACTCACAGTGACTTCATGTGACAGAGTAGAATTGCCTCATAGGATTTCCTAGGCTGTGATCGTTGTGGAAGCAGATCATCAGGTATTTATCCTGCGGAGCTACTAGGTGGATTTGAACTGCCAACCTTTCAGTTACTAGCCTAGCACTTAACCATTGCACCATGAGAGCTCCTTGGACTGGGGTCTAGGCCTGGGTTAAAGCCATAGCACTATCTATAACTATCTCCAGGGCCATAGGTAACTCAATCTCTGGGCTTCAATTTCCCCATGTGTGAAATGAGCAGGCTAGATTCATTCCTAAGGTCCTCTCGAGCTCTGACAATCTCTGGTTCCATGAAGAGGGAATCATCAGGGCCACCTGAGGCCTTCAGGGAGTAGCAGCCAACTTACTGGAATTTTGCTCTAAGGTTTTGTCTGACACCATCAGTAACATCACCATTATCATCTTTGTCGAAATCACCACCATCATCATTATCATCATTTCATGAAATTGGCCTGGGAGTGGTTTCCCCAGAGGACGCCTCTATGTGGGTTACAGGGGTCATTCATCACTACATAAAGCTGTCAGACAAATAGACCCATAAATGTAAACATATAGAATAAGCTCTAATGGATTTCTGCTACCCAGTCAGTCTGCACACCTGCTCAGAGCTGTTGCAAGCATGCCAAATTAAATTCATGAAAAAAATATTCATTGAAAATTGAATGCAGAATCAGCCTCTTTCTTGGTTGTCATCATTCACAGGTGCCATAAGAAGTCAAGGTTGATTATATTTCAGGTTGATTTATTTACTGCTGGTTGGTGTGGTCCCTTGGGCTAAACCATCCATTAATGTCCTGTCTCCATGGCTCCCCAAAAGTGAGGGGAGGGGGCCCTCAAGTCTGTGTCAGGCTCTAGTCCCATAGGGACCTGGTGATGGAAATGAAAGTACCCTTGCCTGTATATGAGGACGTGCATCTGAACTGATTATAATTTGCTTTTGTCATTATGTCCAGTGGCTGATGATGACTCTGTATTCCTGAAAATGCTGGAGCCTGTCTGCCCTCACAAAAGACTTCATATATGGCCCAAGAGTAGCCTGGGCTACCACTTTCAACCCACTCACTGTTCTTCAGGTCCACATCTCCATCCATCACCTTCTCAACTGGAAGATTTCTCTCCTGAAGATCTCCCCTTTTGAGGGCCAGCCAGTGAAAAGGGAAGGGAGATCATAAATATTGCCTTGAATTTGTAAGGACCCGCTGCCTTTCCCTATGACCACAACCTTGTCACAAGCAGAGAGGTTACATGATGCAGTGCAGGCAATCTGACTCCAGAGCTGGAGTGATTAACCTCTGTATACCACACTGCCTCCATGGCTGTCTAATTTCAGTGACTTCAGATGCTCCAAGTGTCATCACATTTGGGATAGTAGCCTAAATCTCAAGGTCTAAGGAGGGAATAATGTCAACTTATCTATCTGTATCAGCATCTGCAAGTTTTTGGTAGAGGCGTAGGCTAAATCTTAACTGTTTGGGGTGAGGTTTGGGGCATATTGGGCTTTCAGGAAGATAGTAAATAAGAGCATTTACAGGGTCCAGCTCAGGGTGGGCTGGCTCTGGCATCTGAGGTCATCTGCTGACAAGATATCCAGACAATTGAATGTTGAGGGACCAGTGGATTTAAAACAACATTCCTGTATGTGACAGGTGTCAGCCTGTTTACTTGACCTATGACTTATCAGAACCATTTCAAATCAGTCCAGAAATTTCTGCCTACCAACTCCAAAATAGGAAAACGAATTCAACTATGGAGTTAATCAGATAATATATGGGATTTTTTGAACTACAGTGATACATCACTTTCATAACATCCCCTGCAACCCAGAATCCATGCACTAAACCAGAATAAAGGCTATTTTTCTAAGCCTATCCATTTTCTCATAAATTAGCACCTGAGAGACATTCATTACAATTTTATTTACTCTTCATTTACAAACAATTCTAGCAAGCATGGCTATCTGGTTTTCAGTGCATAGCAGACTAAAGGGGAAGCTGAAGGAGGGATGAAAGGGTGTCCACTGGCCACTGAGACAAAGGAGAGTTGACATCCTGATAGATGGCCATAGTATCCAGGAGAGGAGGGCATTTCTGAAGCCTGGTTTAAAGAGATAGAAAAGTATTTTTTTTTAGAAAGGTCTTAATTTATCCCAAATGATAAATTGTATAATTGTATAATGATTTTCCAAAAGTGCCAGATACATGGGATATTATTGATTTTATAAATGATGATCATGTATTTATAGTCTTTTAAAGATTTTTATGACCATTTATTTATCAGTATCTTTGTCTTTAGATTCTCCCATTGTAAATATTTGTTTTAATAGAACAGTTATTTCTTGGTCCATGAAAGTAGTTTCAGCAACTTTTGGAATGATGAGAGAGGAACACCATCATCCCACTTAAGACACTTGGATCTCCGTGTGCTGGTTTTGTTTGGTGCAGATGGGATCTATTCTCAAATTAAGTCTGATAGAGCCCTGCTTCTGACTTCTTGGTGCTTTGAATTGCCCTCCTAAGTCACTCGTGTTCCTCTCACTCCCCTCAGTCTGTGTACCATGACTCAAAGAAGAACTGCTCTCTGCTGATCTCCTCCTAACTCGCCCCACCCAAAGCTGAGTATCGGAGATTAGAGGACAGAGCCATCTCCCCACCGCTACACCACCCCACTCATAGTCTGCCATCCTAGGGCGTGTGGATCAAGAAGAGATCCAGAGCAAGATAGACTGGAAAGGTTCAGGGTGAAGTCAAGATGAAAGTCTGGAAGGACATCAGCAGCTCTGGAAGGAGGAAAAAAATTATCATGACCAAGAGGAAGTAGAAAGTGGTAGACCAGGAGTCCAGCCTAGGAGGCGCAAAGAATCAGCCCTCAGGTGCCAAGGCAGGCAAGGTCACTGAATCCAGAAGATCAGGCCGTCCACCAGTCCTGCCCACACAAACAAAACACACCAATGTCAGTGCTGGGCTAGACTTTCAAAATCTCAGAAAAACGACTCTTCCTGGTAAAAGAAAAGGGCAGTACAAACAGGGGATTGAAATACCTGCCCTTTCCTTGTCCTAGTTTCCTTTTGTTTTTCTTTCCTGTTCATGTTTTGTATAAAAATTCAGTCACCAGAGAGAACCTTCTAGATTCTACATGGGTCCTGGAGCAGGACAGCCAGCAACTTGACTGTAAATAGCACTGCTTTTCTGCCATTGTCACATTGAGTTAGAGAAATGATTTTCGCCTTCAGGATTTTCAGTCTAGTGTTTCCCCAGTGAAACAAATGTATTTAATTTTATAATGAAAAAAAGGATAGGAGATGAGTTTCATGGGTTGTGAGTAGGTAGACGTGGACCAGCTCCACCTGGCTTTGCAGAGAGTCAGAATATGTGTCCAGCTCCAGGTGAGCTAGGGGGAAAATGGCCTCTGAGTGGCTGCCCAGGTCCTGAATTATTATCTGTTCTCCAATATCTCCAAGACAGAGAAAGTAGAAAATATAATAGAAATGGAAATGAATAGAGCTTAGGAAGGAACACTGTAACTGTTTGACCTTGGTCCTCAGTTCATTTGTTTATAAAATGGAGCTCAAATGCATACATTACTGGGTCATTATGAAGCTAAAAACCAAGATTGTGTCCTGCATGCTGTAGGCACTCATTGAATAAAGCTCCTCTTCCTCCATTCGCTTGGGCAGTATAAGGTCCCCCACCCAGGTATTACTATTTGTTTATGTTTTTAAAGGACATAGTCCCTCATAGTGACTGCTCTTCTGAAATGTCCAATATTTCATATTCTGTGTCTACTTTCTTCTTCTCCCACATTCCCTTTCTTGGAATATAAACAAGCCACTTGCTTAAAGGGTGGCCTCAGGAGAGCGACCCCAGAAAGCCAGCTGTGAGGACCTCTGATAAAGTGGTCATCTTGTTAAAATTTCTTTTAAGTCAAACCCCCTGCTTCTATCTCTCCTCAGAAGCATCTGAAGCTTTATTCATCAGAACCCCAGGCTGCCTACCAGAGGTTTTCTGGGTCATGGACCAAGTACCTTCTGGACACTGAAAACTGACCAACAGTTGTCCAAGACACTCATCTGGGAAATTCTGTTATGACCTAGAACTGGCCTGACACCAGACATTTGAAGGCATGAGAAAATGTGCAGTCTAGGATATAATTGTGTATGTTCTTGGTTAGACTTCCATTGTCTCTAGGGTGTACGTCCTGATTGGCTTTGCTGGTTAACTCGGCTAGTTAGCACACAGTGCTAAGAGGTCCTGGAATGGTCAGGTAAATCTGGCAACTGTCCATCCATCCAAATATTCATCCGTGCATCAGGACATTCATTAGCCCCCATCAGTGTGTCAGCTTCTTTGCTAGGCCCTGAGGCACAGTCTACTGGGGCAGCATAAGACTGACAGGCAGACTAGATGCACTGCGTTGGGGGATGCACAGAGTGCATAGAACATAGAGGAGAGGCATCTAGCCCAACCTGAGAGGGCCAGGGAAGGTTTCCTAGCAAATGACGTTTGAGCCATGTTGAAGGAAAAGCAGTACTAGATACACAAATAAAGGGGGAACAACATCCTAGGCAGAGGGTTGTTATTGTTAGATGTCATACCCCTGACTCTTAGTGACCCCAAGCACAACAGAATGAAATGCCACCTGGTCTTGTGCCAACCCTGTGATCAGTTATGGGTCACACCTTTGTGGTCCATGGGGTTTTCATTGACTGATTTTCTGAAACAGATAGTCAGGCATTTCTTCCTAGTCTGCCTTAGTCTGGAAGCTCACCTAAAACCATCATAGCATCATAGCAACACATAAGCCTCCCCTGACAGACGGGTAGTAGCTGTGTTTGAGGTGCATTGGCCAGGAATCAAACCCAGACCACCCACATAGAAGGCAATGATTCTACCACTGAACCAACACTGCCGCCTGGTACTGCATATGTAAAGACAACAAAGGGAGGAATGGAATAGTGTGTTTGGGAAAACAGCAAGGGATGCAGGGCAGCTGAAGCTTAGCTCTGTGGTGAGGAAGCAGCAAGTGCAGAGGTCACGCAGGCAGGCAGGGATCAAATCTGCGGGCTCTGTCATGGGGTCTGGATTTTATCATGAAGGCCAAGGCATCACCAAAGAACTTTAAGCCTCTCCACCAGAAAATGTAGGAAGTCAGCAGAGTGCAGGGTGAAGACACTGACCTTGGAGTCAGAATTGAGTTCAAATCCTTGCTTTGACCATTAGTACAAGGAACTTGGTCAAATTACTCAACCTTTCTGAATCTCTCACAGCCTCATCAATAAAACTATGCTAACAATAATGACCTCACAGGGTTCTTGTGAGGTTTAGATGAGTTAGCATATGCAGTGTTCCTGATGCTTGTCAACACCTTTTTAAAACGTGAGCTCAATCTGATTCCTTTGGAGAGTGGTTGTTGTTGTTGTTATGTGCTGTTGAGTCGGACCCACTCATAGCAACCCCTCCTTGGGTTTCACTGAGGCAGTATCACTACAGAAGTAGATTGCCCAACTTTCCTTCCGAGAAGTAGCTGGTGGTTTTGAACCGCCAGCCTTCTGGTTAGCAGTCAAGTGCCTTTGGCTACCAGAGCTCCCAGGGGCTCCTTTCTTGCATTTGTGGCATGTGCAGAGGTTAATAGCTACGCTAGGTGGCGTGCTGTCCCCACTCAACGGCTCCTCTCACTGAAGGCAGAATGGAATGGTAGAGGGTGTTTGTTTGGTTCTGTCAGCATCAGCCCAGTGTAGACTCACTTCCCTTTCTTGCCTCCTTTTCCTTTTGCCGCTTAGTTTTTAACTGACATACTGTCCTTGATCCAGTGTTTTTGTTTCTGAAAGAAACAAAGTAGTTTTAAGCCCTCATTTTAAATGCATCTCTTTGAGAGATACACCTCAGCTGTTTACTCAAAATTGTATCCCAGCGTGTAGCTTAGTGCTGTGTTTGGTAATTACTGAATGAAATGAATGATATTTAAAGTAATTCAGGTTAATCCT